TTGTATGCATTTACATACCAGACGCTTTTTTGTTGTAATTTATAATAATTATTATTTTTTTTATATAGCGAGGATAAGTTCCATCTGTAAACCTAAGTAAATATGTATATATATGTATTAGTATTTTATAAAAAAGAAAATCTTAGCAAACTTAATAGGTAAATTAAGTGGAAAGTTATGCAAACAAGAAGTGTCCGTTTGTTGGTTAGGGAAGTGAGATGGGAATTAAAAATTGCTTCCTGTTCGCTGCCTTTTGCTGCTAAATTGTTTGTGTATAGAAGTACTATATATGTATGTAAGTATGTATATATGCAATACATATGTACATATGTACGCATTCATACCCAGAGTAGTGTCACATAAAACTTGTAACTACAACACTGTAAACTAGTTTAAAACATTTGCGGTAATCATTTTTTTAGGTCGATACATTTTCGAGCCTTGAAATTTTAAATTAAAAATTTCATTGAAAACTTGTATTTAAATATATAAGAATTTTAACTGTTTAGCTGTCTGAAAGTGAAAAAAAATGTTCAAGAATGTCTAGAAATTTTTGAACAGCGGATAGCGAAACTACGAATTAAAAATATATGTATATTTACATACATACATACATAGTATATGCACATATCGTACCTTTACTGCAAGAGCGTCAAAATAAATAATATTTGTAAATATTTTGAGTTAAGTATGCGAAAATTATAGATGTATGTATATATGTACATATGCACAAACATACATATACATGTATTTTGCAATTTAAATAATTTTCTAATTTAAATATTTTTTTTTTTAATTTTTAATTTTAATTTTTTACCCCAGCATTTTTCCCTAATATTTTTTTATTTCCGAATTTTTTTATTTGCCAATAATTTTTTTTATTTCCCAATATTTTTATATATGTTTTTATTTAGTTTTTGGTTTGTTTTAGTGTATTTAAGTTTTTTAATTTGGACTCTTTTAATTTTCAAAATTATTATTTTTTAAGTATATTTTTTATTTTACTATCTTCATTAATTTTTTATCATTTTATTTCTTTTATTTCTTTCTTTTGTTATTCTTTTTCTACGTTAATTTCTTTTATATTTTTCCTTTTTTTAGTATACGTATTTAATTCTTTTTAGCATAATTTATATTAACTTTATTTTAGTTATTTAATTATAATTTATGTTTGTTATTTCAGCCAGTCCAATTTTTTTGTTTATTACATACACAGGAGAGGAAAAAACTTCTTTTAGCCATTTCTTTAGGTATTTCGCAAATCTTTGAATACAACATTTTGCGTGTTTAAAGCAAAGCAAAGCTTCATAATAACGGGTGATTTTTTAAGAGCTTGATAACTTTTTTTTAAAAAAAAACGCATAAAATTTGCAAAATCTCATCGGTTCTTTATTTGAAACGTTAGATTGGTCCATGACATTTACTTTTTGAAGATAATTTCATTTAAATGTTGACCGCGGCTGCGTCTTAGGTGGTCCATTCGGAAAGTCCAATTTTGGGCAACTTTTTCGAGCATTTCGGCCGGAATAGCCCGAATTTCTTCGGAAATGTTGTCTTCCAAAGCTGGAATAGTTGCTGGCTTATTTCTGTAGANCGAACCGAACACTGATTTTGGTAATAAAATTCAATGATTTGCAAGCGTTGCTCGTTAGTAAGTCTATTCATGATGAAATGTCAAAGCATACTGAGCATCTTTCTCTTTGACACCATGTCTGAAATCCCACGTGATCTGTCAAATACTAATGCATGAAAATCCTAACCTCAAAAAAATCACCCGTTATAAGAATATTAAGAAGGTATCGACTTTTACTAAAAGATTTCGTATTCAGGCAGGTTCTGCAATTCCTTTCCGAGTGAGTTTCAACCCTTGTCAATTTGAATTCAAAGCGAGTTAGATTGAAATTTACTCGGAAGTGAATGGCAGAACCTGTCTGATTATTTTGGTTTTGTCAGATTTTCGGTGCCCCTTTTGGACTTAGCAAACTTGCCTTTCAATGAATATAAACGAGAAAAAATAAAACAAGTACCCCAATCCGTTTCGAAGCTATGCATTTTTAATTTCCCTTTCTTTCTATATCAAAATATGAGTTTTCATAAAAAGTGGACTTAGCAAATTTTCACTCTAAGCTAGGGAAATGTATTTAATTTTATTTAGCATACGTATTTCATTTTATTGTATTTATGTATGTTTTCCTATATTTATACGTATTTTGTTACGATCTATTTTTTTCATTATACATAGGTACATATTTTTTTATTTAAGTTTTATATATTTTTTTTCTTATTTAATTTTTTTTTCAATTTTTTATTTTCCTGTTTTATTTTTTCATTTAATTTTTTATTACTTAATTTAATTTTTTATTTTTTTTTATTACTTAATTTAATTTTTAGTTTTTTTTATTATCTTTTTATCTTATTATCTCAATTTTTTTCTTTTATAACTTTATTTGATTATTTTATTTTATTTTACTACATATTTTATTTTATTATTTCATTTTATCATTTTATATTATTTTATTTTATTCTATTCTACTTTATTTTATTTTGTTATTTGATTTTATTGTTTTACTTCTTTTTATTGTTTTATTTCATTAGTTTACTTAATTTTATTTTATAATATTATCTTATTTTATTTCGAGTTTGTTTTATTTATATTTAATTTTCTTTTATTTTATTTTTATTTTATTTATTTTTTTTTTTCTTTTTTCATATCATTTATTTAGTTCTTGTTACTTTTCTATACTTTTTATTGTTTACTTTTTTACATTTTATTATTTTATTTTTCTACTTGTTCATTATTTTATTTTTTTACTTTTTATTGTTTTATTTTTTACTCATTTGTATGGTTTTCCGCTTCATGTATTTTATTTTCCTTAGAAAACGGTAGTGTATACTTGTATACTTGGTAAGAACTAAAAAAGTACATTTTTCAGAAGAATTTTTTATCTAAAATCCGCTAGTTTGCCATAAGATAAAGATTCATATCAAAATTCAGAGAGCTTTCAAAGCATTTTCTTTATTTATTCAAAAAGCTTTTTGGTATCATTTAGGGGAAAAGTGATTTCCCATATTGGAAGAAAAATACTCCCTAAAATCCTAATTACCATGCTTTTTTGTTTTCGAATAGTACAGTTGCAGTTTAAATTTTTCATGTTTGCCACCTACTCATATAAACATACAAATTTAAGCGTATGTACATATATGAATAACTACTTATGCACATAGGAAGCCTTGGGTGCAGAAGTTGCCTAACTCATAATTTTTTTTTTTATACTTAAGTACTAAAAATGGTTTCAAATGTGATAAATTTCAAAATAAAAGTCGCTCATTCCTCATTAGGGTACAAAGCTACATAGCGTACCTTAAAATTAAGGAATATGCTTCTTTTATTCTGGAATTTATCTCATTTGACTCTATTTTAAGTAAAGTACAAAAAAAAATGGTTAGGCCACTTCTGCCTTCACGACCTCATATATATGTACATATGCATAGATACATTTCTATACTGTACTATACATATATAGATTTGTATGCATGCATGTAGGTATGTATGTATGTAGTATGTATATCTAAAGCCTTGCATAAACCCGCATTTCTATAGATTAACTATATTTCTAATAAAATTTACAGTAGATGTTTCTGTTCTATTTGTATATGTATGTAACTATGTGCATGTGCATGCATTTTTTTTTACTATTTACAAAAAAAAAATATATATTATTGCTTTTCTTTTGTGTGTGCGTGTGTATTTAATCAGTCTATTATTTTCGTTTCCTTGCCGCTGTTGCGATATTATTTTTTACAAAATTCAAATGGCTTATTAAAATATTATAAATGTAATTAAACAATGGAGAAAGTTTAGTACAAAGCAAAAAAATCTTAACTTACCAGGCTGACTTAATATAATGCTGTAATAATATAACTATGTAATCCTATTAAACTCTCTTACAAATTTCAACTTTGAACACATCTGCAATTTATTTTGCCTATTTTTTATGTTTTTATTGTAGATTCTCAATTTCAAATTTTCAGAAAATTTATTCGGCACGGGGTTTTATTGGCTGACAGTTGCACAAAAAAAAAACAAGAAACTGCCGGTACTATAGTGTTTTCTTTATTTTTATTTTAAACTATTAAATATGTATATTTATTTGTAAGTATGTATTTGTACTTGGCGTCTTCAAAATGGAAAGCCAAAGGTGACTATTAAATTTAAATTGATTTGCAATTCATATTCTGCATAAAATATTATGCATGTGTTTGCGTGTGGTGGGGGGAGGGGTGTTTTGTGGGTGTGTGTGTGTGTGTGTGTGTGTGGTATGTGTTCATTCGCAATACTAATTCATTTAGTACATTTCCGCTTACATTCTAAATCATTCATTCAAATCCATATGCAAATTTTGGTTAACATACTTATATAACTAAGTATATATAAATATATATGTGTGTGTAGGTAGGTAGGTATGTAAATAAACTGACAAGTTTGATTTTTGTTTTCGTTTTGCTTTGACGAGACAATCCAGTACATACTACTAGATAATAGCAGTAATAAGAAAGCATAAACGAGTAACAGATTTTAATTTTTTTTTTTGCAAAATGAAGGAAAAACTAAACAAAAAAACGATTTCTTTATGGAAACATGAGCACCTAAAAGCAACAACTGACTCGTTTTCGTTCCTTGCATAACAAGTAATAACTAAACAATCTATGGAGCATAAGTGCCTAAAAGTAGACTTCAACTGCCAATTATTTTCAACGTAACAATGTAACAAGTAACTAATTTTTTTTTTCAACTACCTTTCTTGTTGCCTAGTTTTCTGCGCGCTGTTACGCTGCAATACAGAGAAAGTATTTGGAATTTTGTTTGCATAGTTTTAAACTTAAGATATGCTACTGCAATATAGGAGTAGTAGCCTGAAATTCAGTGTAATAATTATTAGCTTTGCTGGTGTGTCAGCTTGCAAATAATGGAATTTGAAAGTCGATAGGCTATCCATATAATGCCCAGATAAAGTTGCAAGCATAATTAAAATTCACATCTTTGTGTCAAATCGGTGAGAATTGTTGTGCTTACATTGGACGCATTATCGACACTTATGCCGCCGCCGCCGCCGCCGCCGCTGTTCGTGTTGCCATTACTACTGCTGCTGCTATGATGAAAGCTATTTAAGTGCTGTTGTTGTTGCTCAACAGCGATCATTGGCTGATGCTGATGGGAGTGTTCCGCACTCCTTGAGCGGTGTTGTTGATGATGTTGCTGGTGTTGATTTTGGTGGTGCTGTTGCTGTTCCTGCTGTTGCTGCTGTTGCTGCTGTTGCTGCTGCTGCTGCTGGTGGTGCTTATACTGATGCACAGCGTGCACCTGCTGTTGTTGCAGTTGCTGGTTATGATGGTGGTGCTGCTGTTGCTGCTGCTGAAAATGATGTTCCTGCTCCGACTGCAGCTGTTGTTGCTGATTATGTTGAAAGGATTCTTCTGTATTTGCGTATGGCTGCAAATTACGACTATGCTCCTCGAAAATAATTTCCATTTTTTGCATGCACTCATGGAGGTATTCCTGAAAAAGACAATGTGATCGATCCTTAGTGAATTTGTATGAGTAAAAAATAATACTTATTTTTAAAACTGGCTTAAATGTGGATTTTAATAATAAACTTAATTTTAAGTTCTTAAAGTAAACTTTCTGCTAAGCGTAAGGGAATGGTAATAATAAGTTGCTATTGTCACGTTCGTTGTTGTTGTAGCGACTTACATAGCCCTGCCTAGAAAGGCTTGTCGTCAAGCTCATCTAACAGCAGAACAAAAGCTGGGCATATTTGCATTTATCCTACTCTGGTAGGCGGGCGAAGTTCTGTCTCGTCCATGTCCAGTGTCTGTATTCCCAAAACGCCATTCGCACAAAGGTTGTTTTATGAACCTATGGCCTTCGTCCGAAAGTTCGTGTAGATGCGTTCTCACGTGCCTAGGCGAAGGCTCTGCAGCAAGCAGGTGTCTCTTCGGAATTGGTTCGCTGTCGACGTGAATTCTCTGTTGTCTTCTGATCTTTTTCATCCAGGTGGTGAAAAGGGTTGACAAGGATTTAGTAGGGGAGAGGGTTAGGCTCCCTGAGAGGTGACCGTTTGCTTTCGAGCACAAGTCAACAATTCGATTTCCGGGCGCCATTATCGAGAAATCGTCAGCATAAGAAACCTCCCAGAGGGAGTCTCGAGATATAGTAATTAAACAGAAACGAGGAAAGGACAACAGTCTGTATCTCTGAAACTGACTGACGAATGTCGAGGATCCAGATAATTCCCTGACCACCGTTTGAATCACTGTGGAAGAAAGAAAGCCTCAATGTCTTCTAGTAGCCTGGAGTGGGAGGCAGTGTCAAACGTCTTTCGACAGGACAGATTCCACGCTACTAGAACTGTTCTCTCACAAGGGCGGTTTCGGTTAAGGCAACGGTTTATCTGATATTTCAGTGCTGTTGTGGTGCTGTGCACTTTACGGAAGCCATGCTGATGCCTCGCTGGGGGCAGGTGGTACGTCAGGTGCGGGAATAACAAGGCCCGTAGTGCCTTCGCTACCGGTGAAAGGAGTGTTTTCGGCGGTTAAGCCATTCCATTGTTAGAAGGTCTCCCCGATTCCACCAATGGGACCACTCTTCCCATTTTCCAGATATCCGAAATGATGAGTGTGGCCATAGACAAATTGAGAACCTTGGTTAAGTAGTCTACTCCGCAGCACTAAATTTTTTCAGCATCAGCACGTAAATTCCGTCGAGAGCAATGGCTTTGGAGGCCTTCACCTTTCCAGTGGCTACCTGAACCTCACCGCTGGTGAAAGCACGAGGCACACTCGGTGTTGGCCGTTTGTGCGACTCACTCAACGCTTTGCTTTGTCCATCGACGGATGCAGCATCACCGAGAGAGATTTCCAACATATCGTCGCGCTGTGTGGGGTTGGACAGTGACCTTGCGGTTGACCAGAGCTTACTCAGACCAGAAGTTAAATTGTAAGTCTTCAGATGCTCCTCCCACTTCTTCCGTTAAGATCCAGTATAAAGGAATTTCCGGGATGGGTTTGGCGAAGGCTATCACGCTCGTTGGCTAGAATGGCCGCTTCAACTGGGAAGTTCGGACAGGTTTCTGCAATGCATCCAACGGCAATGAAGCGGGCTGCAGCAGCAGTGACAACCTTGCGTAACTTACGTGCACCTACATGAACGTCGATTGGTGCATGTCCGTCTCTCTGTCTGCCTGTTTGGATGCAATATTAGAACTCATTTTTCGAGATATAGCTCCCACATAAAACATTGTTCAGATCTCATACAACTGATTGTTCAGATATGAGTTTAATTTTCTTTTATTCAAGAATTTAGTATGTTTATGATCACTTGATTTGAAGCGAAATTTGAAGCCGTCAGCATTTTTTTTTTTTTTTGTGAGCCAAATCTAAATCAGCTTCTACTTATAAATCAATAAAATAGCTACACATTTATGACCGTCCTCGCTCGCATTGCAATTTTAACAAGAACAAAAGCTATTGTTTGTATATGAATTCATATGTATGTACATATGTATGTGAACATTTCATTATAAAATTATCTGCTCATTATTGAAAAAGTGGGACTCATTCGCTTCAACGCCTCAAAATAAAACTGTAATTACTTAAAAAGCGCCACGCCGCGCCGCGTTGCAATGAAGTGTCCGTAGTGGCGTTTAAAAATATTTAACCTTAACAGCCGCATTCACACGCTCCTATGTAAATATGTAGTACGCATGTAAAGTTAATATACATACATAGGTATATAAGCAACACAATCACATCATACGATTTTATGATTTTATGCGCGCTTGCTTCTTGATCATTGACCACTTGCAAATTAATGAAATGTCGTAAAAATTAATTAGCAACGCATAAATTGGTGGCACACAGGATATTTTAGAATGCCATGGAAATAAGGTACTAATGTCACGAGATTGCTATTAAATGGTGGAAGTTTTTTTTTTTTTTTTCAAAAAGTTTCATAATGTTTTTTAACCAAATCGATAATTCGTAATTGGTTGACTCATCGGTTTGGTTTTGCGGAGAAATGCACAGGTAAATATTTATGACAAACAGTATACGAAGAGAAAAAGTAAGCGAGCCTTAGAATCGTTTACCCTGAAAAAACTAGCGTCTTTAAAAAAAAAAAAAGAAAATAATAGTAAAAAACCATATCAAATGTCATCTGATAAGTGCATATATACAATGGTTACATTTTTGCTGCATTCTATCAGTAACGCTGACTCAAAATACTGCTTCTAACCAAGCGCAAACTGAATTTTTCTTACTGCACCTCTTAGGAAGTGTCCATGGTAGAGTACAGGAACTTGGTATGGAGATAAATTAAATCAATGCTATACTAATGGAACAAATTGATAATTATTGGGGAAGAAGGGGCGTGGCGCGTCCCCTGCATACTGAAACTTTGATAACAATACATACTTCCGGAAGTATTTCAGGTACAGTGCTGAGTTTTATGTGGATTAGGGATGTTAAAAAAATATCGGTTTTTCTAAAAACCGGTTTTTATTGGTGATGGTTTATTTTGGTGTTGTTTTTTTCCTTTCAAACCGAAAATTCGGTTTTTACATTCCCCAGCTGTTTAATTATTTTGCATATCTTCGATTGTTAAGTCGATTGTGAATATTGTCTTCGACTGTGGAAAACAACAAAACTTTAATGACGTTTATTAAAATTATGGCGCACAAATACATATTAAACCAATTTGTGTTTTTAAATTAAAGTTTGCTTTTGTATAAATATGTCAAACGCTTTACCATATTTCCCATTTTTGGAAATGAAGTTGTTTAATAAAACAAGTAATTTTTAAGCAAAAAACAAAACCGACTTCAATTCTCATATAAAAATGTAAGATTATCGCTAATTTCTTCACGATCCAATTATCGGATCTAAATAAAATTATAATTATGGGTCCACCCTTGAGGTACCACCTTTCCGATGAAAAAAGAATTATCGAAATCGGTTAACGTGGTCCAAACTTATGCGATAGTCGGTTAAAAATCAGACAAAACAGTTGAAATTATAATGAAAATTTTTTAAATTTTTCTAAGCTCTGTATAATGTTTGAAAGTTTGATTTATATGGTTTTGGATAAAGTATGAACTATATTTTTATGAAAAAAAAAAAAAAAAAAATTAACAAAAATCACCGTGTGCTCATTTCTGCTCCCCACTATACATACATACATATGTATATACATATGCATCTATATGTACAGCATCTTAAAAAATTACTATTATCAAATAACCAAATGTCACGCTTACCTGTTCAATGCTGGTCAAATCGGTCAATAAATTCAATAGATGACGTAATTTTTGTCCCGTACGTAAGTGCCAATTCAAACCGCCCAGAGCTGCGGCGATACTGGCGGCGGCAATAGTACTGGCCGAATATATCGAGAAGTAATGTTCTAGAGAAAATAGAATTTCGAAAACAAATTTTTAATAACAATTCAAAATTAATAAACGTAATTTAGATTATTTGATATATGCAAGAGAGTTAAAGAGATAAATTCAATTCAAATAAATATCAATATGATATGGGCATAAAATTTATCACATACAGTCAGTCAAATAACAATTAAGATTAACTGATAAGTGAAAATGAAAGTGAAGAGGATAGTAGGATTAAAATTTCACCATAAATAACAACATTTTAAGCCCATTAGAAACACATAAGCACAACAATAAATTAATTGTGAAAATTTCCAGAAAATAAGTAAATACAACGCGTGCCTTTTACCCTCAAATTGATGATGATTTAAAATGACCCTTAGAGAAAAGTTTTAAATTCATCTCTNATTGTAGGCATTTTACAAACAATTGGCGCGAAAAATGATTGTTACAACAATAATACTAGCAACAATGTAGAACAAAAGCCAACATCTGTTTGCGCTGTTGAATGGCGCAGAGTTTGAGAACTGCTCGATTTGTGCTGGCTGGTGAGACCCTGAAGCAGTATGTACTAGCAACAAAAATAACAGCACAAAAACAACAACAACAGCAACAAGAACAACTGATTTGCAAAATGTGTGAAAGTATTTCAACATTTCAAATTCATTCACACATTAAAATGCAGTGTGTCATGGCCTTAAAAGTTGCGCTCAAAAACTAACAAAAAGAAATTTAGTGGAAAAAAATTATTACAGAATATTAACCTTTTTCAAAAAAAAAGAAATAAAATAACATACAGTGAAACCCCTATATAACGAATCTTCATAAAACGAAAAACTCAATATGTATAACAAAACTTTTGCTGAGTGCCATGAAAAAAACTCGTTGTTTGCAAAAATTTTCCACAAAAATGCGCTATAGATATAACGAAGAAATTCGAGCATGAAAACCTTCGAAATATATTGCCTTTTAACGTCCGGTTTGAAGAAGCCGCTATGTATATAACCAAGTCTCATCTCAAAAGTCTATACATAAGAAATTCTGCATATGTTGACGGCAAGAGTCCCGATGTCAAAAAAAAAAAAACAAAAACGCAACTATATTTATAACGAATTTTTTAACAAATTTTGTATTTTTCGTTGTATCAAAGTTTTGATATACTATAAATGAAAAGAAACTAGATATGCAACCCCTACAACTTCGTTATATCGCAGCTTCTGCATCCCAGAGTTTCTTGGGGCCTATGGTCCAGAAAATTTTAGGTACACATTGCAGATTGAGCTCTCTGGAATACAGGAAACCCATACATTAAACCTAATGGGGACATTTGGTATACAGATGGATCTAATCTTGGAAATGGTAAAACTGGGGCTGGAATTTTTGGGCCGACCTTTAAAAAATCGATATCAGTGTGTAGCTACCTCACCATCTTTCAGGCGGAGATTCATGCAATAGAAATTTGTGGCAGAGAATGTCTTAGAAGGGGAACTTGCATTATGTCGGTCAGTCAGGTAGCTAGTATATGATTGTCTCAATGTCCTAAACGCTCTTGGTGCTAAGAATACAGTTTTATTAGGATGGGTACCGGGGCATGAGGGACATGATGGCAATGAGGTGGCTGACTGTCTAGCGAAACAGGGAGCTGGCGCAGTATTTTATGGTCGAACCCCTTTTGTGGGCTCACCAAAGCACATATAAAGGGGAGCGTAAATAACTGGGTAGACAAAATTTTCAACAGGCATTGGATGGAATGTCCAGGCCAAAGACAAGCCAAACGATTTATCTGTCCTACAAAAGAAGTTTCATAGAAACTACTCAATTTAGGCAGAGAGAATCTCAAACCTCGCACTAGGTACTACACGGGACACTGCTCCCTTCATAGTTGTTTTACTGTTTGCAATAAGGACGGGTCTTTAGCCGTTTGGCTGACGGAGGAAATTTCGATAGACAACTGATTGTGGTGTCATACAGCTAGGAAAGAGCTTTCAGAGACAGACCTCATCTCGTACTAATGGTTCTACTGTATCTAAAAGTGTAAGTAAACTGATGGCTTTTTCACTCTTATCGGAAAGTTTCTGTCTATCATCAAGTTCAAGTACTGGACCTGGGGGTAGGTAAAGGCAGAGTCACACGGAGTTTTATATATTTCTTAGTGTATGCGACAAGTTCTGTCTTCTAAAAGGTATTATGAGACCTATATTTTACGAAAAATGTGCGGCCATCTATCTGCTTTGGCTATCCCACAATCCGCGACAATTCCAGCTCTTTAGGTCCCCCAACACCCTGCAGAGCGCAGGCAATAGGACAACTTATGGAGTGCATCTTCTTATTCGCCATACGCTATACGGCGGTCCTACACTACCCTTGTCTGAAGCAACAGTTTTGCCATAAAGTTTGCGTTAGACAAACCTGGCTAGCTCGGTTTTTGGTCCAGGTATGGAGTACGGGAATTTCCACATGAATTTTAATTTTTTTGACGATCAAAAAACGACACAGTGCGCTGCTCATTTAACGACTGCCCGCTGCTGCTGGTATTAGCACACAGACAGTACATATTTGCATTCGCACACAATATTTAAGTACACATTTATTTCGAGCGACCGGAAATGGGCGTAGAAATTATTACGAGACAGCGCAGCGAACATAAAGTTCAGAGTCTGAACTTCAGACATATGTATGTACATATGTATGTACCCAGCAGTTATTCATAGATTTGTATGTATGTACATAGTTTTGTGAGTTCGCAAGACGCCTGCAGGCGTTCGAATTCAAGCCGTTTACAATTGCAAAGGATTTACAAAATGGGTATCAAGCAGATCCATGGGACCAAAGTATGGGCTTACATGAAAATACATATATTGCACATACGTATGTATGTATGTATTAGAGTCCAGCGCAATTGTATTTGCCGCATTTCATTCAATAAGTACTCCTTGCATTGTACTCTACTCCCAACACATTGTTACTTTTTTTCCGCATACATACACTACTTGGCGTTGAGAGAGTAAATACTTGACGTACTTGCTATTACTCCGCCAAAGTACGTACTCTACTTTCCCTCATCGCGTAC